GATTCAACCAAGCAGGATGGTGTAGTACTGTAGTATTTATTTACTACTGGAAAAAGCCGCGTATAAGTGGGCCTGCCCTTCAAACTCGTGTTGTACAAGGGTCTACTGTAGTTATAAATCACCCTTGGGAGAACTGAGAAAATAGTTACTCATGTTATTTTCTGTGTTTGTGATTCCAAAGAGGAACAATTAGAAAAGCTGCTTCTGTAGAGTGGGATTCAGGGAGAGAAGGATGAGGGCAGAGGGCTATTGTTTTTCACTGTAAGTCTTGTAGGATTATTTGACTCTTTAAATTATGTACAGGTATCCCTTTGATAAACATAAATATTACCTTAAAATAAATATAATAGCAAAAAGCAATAAAGGAACTGTGAATACAAAATGTATTTTTAAAAAAATAAAGCACAGAACTCAAAGGTGTAGAAACAGTTCTCATTAGAAAAAGCCCAATAATTTTTCTTAAAAATTATAGAATTTATTACATAATATCTACTTAAAAAGTATTTCTATGTAAATGGCAATGTACTAGTAATTATTATGTTCTTTGAGTCACCTAAAAGATACAAAACAAGGTAGGATAATTAAATAATAATATAATCTAACAATTTGTAAAAGGTATGACATTGAAATCTTTTGACATGAAATCTTATTAAACTGCACATACTTCCCATTTCAATCAAGATTTACTTACTGTGCCAGTAATCTACCCTTGTACAGAAGACACAAAAGAAATATAAGATATATTCCCTATTCTAAGGAAGTTTATTTATGTGTGCATATGATAACTTGTTTTAGGTAGTATCTTTACTCACTTGGCCATTTATGTATTCATAATTTTATAAACAAATATTTACAATATTTACTCTGCAAAAATGATTTTTAAAAATCTCTTCATGAGTAAAACCAAATTGGCAACAACATGGAAGATTTGTCAGAAAACAACAAAACCAACAGTAAGGAGACTCCTAAAATGGTTAAGGTGAGAGATGATGAGGGCCTGAACTGAGACAGGGCAGATGGAAAGGAAACATATAAAAGCGGCTGTTCCCATAGGGAACAGAACAAGGTGGAGGTGTCTGAGGAGTTTAACTAACATGATGAAGATATAAATTAGAAAATCAATGGTCAGGTAAACCTATTTCTGAGCTGGGGCCCATTCTGTTGTGACTTCTACTCCACACGAACACTTTCTATCTTAGTAGACACCTTCTCTTGTATATCAGGGTAAAGTGCAGGAAATAAAAACTACTCTAGGTATTTTCAACAAGAAGGTGTTTAATGCAGTGAATTGGGTGCTTAAAAAAAAATCATTGGAAGCAACTGACATGTCCTTCAGTAGGTAAATGAATAAATAAACTGTGGTACATCCATACAATCGACTATTATTCAGCACTAAAAAGTAATGGCTGGGCTTCCCTGGTGGCGCAGTGGTTGAGGGTCCGCCTGCCGATGCAGGGGACAAGGGTTCGTGCCCCGGTCCGGGAAGATCCCACATGCTGCGGAGCGGCTGGGCCCGTGAGCCATGGCCGCTGAGCCTGCGCGTCCGGAGCCTGTGCTCCGCAACAGGAGGGGCCCCAGCAGTGAGAGGCCCGCGTACCGCAATAAAAAAAAAAAAAAAAGCGGCTAAAGAATGGGAACTTTTGGGGAGTGAAAGCAAGGGAGAAAGCTAGGATTACTGACAGGTTGCCATCGCTAGTGACTGGGTAGACAGAGGTAGCACTGACCATAACAGGCAATACAAAGAGGAGCAGGACTGAGGGAAAACACGAGTGCACGTTTGGACTGGTGTTTGAAGTACCTTGAGAACATTCTGGGGGAGATGTCCGATAGGCTGTTGAATATAAGGATCTGGAATGCAGGAGAGAAGTCTGAGATAGATAAAGATTTGGGAATTGGCAGCACATAGCTGTTAATAGATGAAATCACCTAGGAAGAGAATATAGAAGAGGATAGGAGCCTGACATCAGATAACTAAAGGTCACAATTGGTGTTCTTAAAGCCACTCTGAAAAAACTTTGCCCATAGTTCTATGTACTTCCATGAAAAAATATCCAATATATAATGCTAAAAGACAAAAAAATCAAATTGTAAAACTTCATGCATAGTACAAATCCATTTTTACAAATAAGTTGTAAAAAAAATTATAGTATTAGCAAAGTCACAAGAAAAAAAAATACAGAGGAGAAAACACCAAACTTTTCACAATGGTGTCTGAGATTATGTAAGCATAACATCTATATTACATGTTCTTATAGTATTTTTTTAACAAAAATATACTACTTCTATAAACAGGAAAAAAGATAATTTTGTTCCTTTCCTTCAAAAAAAATGATAGCATGTATCCTTATAATGTAAAAAGATAATACAAATCTGTTAGAAAAACACTTGGACACTGGACCATAAATGGGCAAACAATATGAACAGATAACTAGTAAGATTATGAAAAAACATTCAATGTACAACCTGCATTACCAAAGTAACACAAATCAGAATACATACCATTCACTGCCTACTAGATCAGAATATGATCTTTTTAATAATAAAAGTACTCAATGTTGGTAAGTGTTTGATAAAAAGAGCATCTCAGACACGGCTGATAGGAAATAAACTGGTATACTCACTCAGGGGAACAATGTGATAATATGCATCAATCGATTCAAAAAGATTCCTAACATTTGATCTAACGATTCTCATTTCATAAATTCAAGAAAATAATCCAAAACAAGTGAAAATATGCAAAGATATTTTGCAAAATCATTAATTGAAACAATCTAAACACCGATATTAGGACACAGAAAATTATGTAGGCATCATAAGTGATGTTTATGTCTATCAAAACTTTTTTTTTTAAGTATATACTCTATGGCCTAGCAATTCCACTTCTAGAGAAACACTAGTACTTAGGCTCAAGAACACATTATAAAGAACTTTCAATGTTGCAATGTTTGTAATAGTGAAAATTGCAAAGAACCTAACAGCTCATCAATACAAGAATGATTAAATCAGCTTTTTAAAACTGTGGTCTGAGGAACCCTAAAGACCCCAAGAGCTTTCGGCGGGTGAGGGCCTTTCTGTTCCAAATACCGATCTGTGCAAGGATGGATTTTCTTAGTATGCTTCAGTTTAAACAAGGTAGCGCACCAGACTGAAGGGCAAAGCAAATATGAGAATCTAGCCGTCTCCTATAAAGCCAGACATTAAAGTGACCTACTAAAAATGTAAAACAATGCCATCTTTCTCACTAAATTTTTTTTAAAAATATAGTTACTTTAAACAATATAATTTAATTCAATATATAATGGGTTACTGTTATTTTTAAATGAATAAGTAAAAATTTTTTAATTTTCTGAGTTTTAATTTCTAAAATGGTATATATATACTGCATTAGAAAACAAAAACTCTTCTAGTCCTCGATAATTTTTAAGTGTATAAAGGGCTCCTGAGACCCACTGGATTAAATAAACTGTGATACCATCATATTATGTAATATTATAACTGGGGATGATAATTAAAAGGGAATTTATATTTATCTGTAATGTAACTGTTTCAAAAGACACTTTGCTCATGTATCAGTTGTGTAATCAAAAATCATAAAGTCATGTCTGTGAAGCTTTTTAAAAATATGGGGAAATGCTTAAAATATAATTTTAAGCAAGAAAAGCAGGCAATCCAACTGTATATAAAATCTCATTATTTCAATTAAGAAAATGCCACGGGAAAAAAAAGACTCAGGTGAAAACTCAAAATTAACTATTGTTGATTACCTTTAAACATGGAATTAAAGTTGATTATTTTTCCTTATTCTTTATTATATTTAATTTTTTTACACTAAACATGCGGTTTAATATCCAGAGGAGAAAAAAGGGAAATTAGGTGAAAAATTGTATATAGTTCTACTAGATCAAACCACTGAACTTGTGCCAGTTCAAAAGACAAGCTCAAAATAATAAATTAAGGAACCTAATTCGATCAACAAACTGCCTATTTTATTAAAGGAAAAATATTAAGTTATCAAATGTATGGGCTGGTTTCCACACGAGTCAAACTAACAAGAACTCCCTTAGTCTGGAATATAGTATCATGCAGTCACGGTAGTACAAATAAGTTTATAGTTTAAAAGTTAGATCATCTTTTACCATTTTTCAAAGGTACTAAAGAAAAGGTAGACGAAGGGACACTAGCGCGTCCTTCTGGTCTAAAACGATGAGAAAATGCGTCGGTGCGAGAATGGGCTTTGCTAGAGCACGGGCGGCGGTGACAGATTCCTCTGCGGGGGCAGAGTCATTTCAGCGCAGAGGCTACCACTCACTCCTCGGGAGCGACAGCCCCTCCTGCAGGCTCAGCCCCTTCCCTGGAGGGACAGGCGGCCCTGGGGGCTCTTCTCCCTTCATCCGCTGCAGCCTGGGGGTTGTTCCCCCGGCAGCGCCCAGCACTCCTGGAGGCCCGGGTGGGTGGGACCCGGCAAACAGCGGCCGTGATTGCCATCCTGGCCTGGTCCGGCCCAACAGGCTTTACCGAGGAGCCGCGAGGTTTGAGAGTCCTTATTTCCCAGCCAGCTCAGGGGGGCTCGTAAAAGGAATGGGTCGGGGGCTCAAGGCTCGGCCCCTGGAGGAACAGGAGGGCCAGACCCAGCGCCTAGGGCAGCGCGACCAGCGGTCACCCCGCCCCCTCCCCGAGGGCAGCAGGGGTGAGGAGAGGCCAAGACGCCTGTTCCAGGGGGCTCTTACCTCCCCACACCCCTGCGGAGCTCTGTGAGGCTTGACGAGACGCCGCGTTAAGGAGTGAAGAGCGACCCCGGCCGGGAATCCAGGGTGTGCGCGATGTCGGCTCAAGGTTTGTTGCCCCCCTACCCCCCGACCTAGGGAGAGCAGACAGCGCAGGCGCAGAGAAGGCATTCTGTGCCTCACACGCCCCCTCCTTCTGCGTCCGCGGCCTCCCCGCTCACGAGGCGCCTGCGCGCTGCCATGCCGGTTCTAAGCCCAGGGCGCCGCGCTTCTTACCGGAAAGGCCTGAGGAGGTTATGGGGTGACTGGGGTGACTGGGGCTCCTGAAGATCGGCCGTAGGTCGGGACTCGGTTTCCCGCTAGAAGCCTTGGAGCCGGGATCGGGAGACGACTGCGTCCGTGTCCGGCTTCCTCTGCCCTTCGCTGACCTAGACGCAGCTTCCCCCGCCCCCAGCCTCCTGCGTCCTGCGGCCTGTACTGGACACACCCGCCTGCTGGGCAGCCAACGCGGCCTGCTCCCCCCAGCGCTGCTGTCTTCCTGGAAAAAACCTCACTTTTTTTGCTTCGGGCTGGTTTTGCAACCACCCGCAGCCCCCTTCCCCCTCACACCCTGGCAGCAACCAAAATGCTCCTACCCCGCTGCCAAGCCTTAAGCCCTCCAGACGACTGGCCATTCCCAAGGGCTCTGCCTTTGCCTCTCCTTGCTTTAGTTCTGCTTTTCTGACAGTGGCCGCGAGAACAGCTGCCTCCCCGGTCTGAAAACAAAAGCTAACTCATCCGGAAAGTAAATGGCAATCATGTGATGTATATTTGTGCTTGTTTGAGCTTTACTGTGTTCACCACAAGCTTCCTATAAACTTAAATAAGGGAAGAAGAGACATCTGTGTGAGGTCAGGGTATTACAGACTGGGGAAAAGAATCCGTCGGTTGCCAAAAGGTTTTACCGGTTCAGAATTCATACTGCTCTTTCAAAAATTTCAAGAGTTTTAGTATCTCAGGAATATGTAAGTCTGATGTAATTTGCGGTGAAAGATTTGAGAATCAGCGTTCAAATCCCAAATATGCAAATTGGACAAGCATGGTTACTGATCTTTCAAACATACTTCGTCTTGATTTTCCCAAATTCTGAAATGAAATGGTGTGGCTTTAGTTCAACGATGAAACTTGTATTGATTGCTTAAAATAATTTATTGAGCATCTGCTATGTGACAGACACTGTGTTAAATGCTTTGCTTAGGTCATCTCATTTAATCCTAAGAATAATCCTGCGAAGAACAGCATGCATTTTCTCTACTATGTGTCCGGTGTTGCTCACAGATAAATAAAATGGGGTCACTACCCTTATAGAAACACAGTCTTACAGCAAAGATGCATGTATACAAGTACATATTTGAGATAGAAGTATTTATATTGCACAGTGTGAGGACAAAGACTAGAAATAGGAAACACTAAGACCTTAAACAGGTAAATGGGAAAAATATATACATGAACAGTCAATTCACAAAATAAGGAATTTAAATGCCTACTGCATATTTTACTAATGTTCAAACTCATTAATAATGAAAAGAAGACAAAAGAGGTATTATTTCCCATGGGTCTAGTTTGTTTACATTGTGAATAGACTCCATTGGTGAGGGTAGAATGAAATGAGCACTCATACCCTGTTGGGTATGAATTAAGTTGGGGATATAAATTAAGACAAAGATTTTGGAAAGTTACTTGTCAAATCATATCAAGAAATGTTCACATGACCTAATTCAGTACCTTCTGTTTTGGAAATTATAAGGAGATATTTCAGAATACAAAGATTTAGATGAGTAACAGTAAGGAAAGTAAACAAGGTACCAAAACCCAATTACCTTTCACATATAAATTGTACTTTGTATCACATTTATTTTTTATGGGTGTTTCCTCTATACAGTGCATTATGCTAGGAGTTGTAAGGACTGTAACGATGGATAATTTATGATTTTTGCCCTGAAGAAGTTCACAATCCACTGTGTCATTTATTTATTAACGTAAATAGCTGAGAGATTGCTGCAGTATAGTAAAATTACAAGAGCTTTGTATAGATTCTTGGTCAAATTTTCTGTGATTTCCTTTGTTGGTTGAAATAAAGAAGAAAGCTACACATCAAATGCAATGTCAGATAAAATATTAAGGAAAAAGAGTCCTTGGCAAAAGTTGAGTAATATTACTGACATATTCAATGTATCATCTTCTACCTAAAGATTCTATTTATAACTAAATGTTTTCTGGACTTGGGGAAAGTCATCATCCTAGTTATAACATACTTGGTCAATATATTCCTTAGACTAACTAGTCATCACTTGGATCATCAGCAGTTTTTATTATTTTGAAAGGTAACCAGGATCCTGATGATTTTAAGAGGCTTAAATTCCATTGTAATATGAACTTCCAAAGCTGTTCCCTTTTCATAAGTAAACTGGGTGGAGAAAATACCAGAAGCAAAAGAAAATAACTATTACAATTATTCATTTGTTTCATGGCTGGTCTGAGACTAACAAGCAGTTTTAGAACAAAGGATTCATTGCTCCAAAATACAGAATGTGACATGCAACTGTTAGTTACCCATCTGCATTTAAGTGATATATAACCACACTAAAACACCCATGTTACAAGGAAAAGAGCTGAAACAGCTTTTTTAAAAATTGTCTGCTGGTCTAGGGCCAATAGGATCAGCTATTTGGAACAAAGTCACCAATGAAGAAATGGTTATAGTTTTGGTGACCGTGCGAACTAGTGTTTAAAAATGCATAGAAAAAGTTTGGAAGGAATTCCACTAAAATATTAACTCTATTTTTGGAAGGTGAAATTATGAGTGATTTCTCCCTCTTCTTTCGAGTGTTCCATATTTTCCAGGTTTTTTTGTAATGAGAACATATTACTTTAATAATCCAAGAGGAAAACTGGAATGATTCCTTTTTAAAAGTATTGCTGAATTCATAATTGAGCCAACCAATTACCTTATATTCATTATGCAATCTCTGCATACAATATATTGCATGACTGTGAGTCATCAGAGGGAAATATACCCGAAAGGATTGATGAGCACTTGTGTCTGGATACTGTCTTAGAGGTGGTGCAAGGTACAGTGATTCCCAGGACAGATGTTTTGTTTTGTTTTGTTTTTAACACATTTATTTATGTATTTTTGGCTGCGTTGGATCTTCATTGCTGCTCGGGCTTTCTCTAGTGGCGAACGGGGGCTACTCTTCGTTGCGGTGTGCGGGCTTCTCATTGCGGTGGCTTCTCTTGCAGCGGAACACGGGCTCTAGGTGCACGGGCTTCAGTAGTTGTGGCGCACTGGCTCAGTAGTTGTAGCGCACGGGCTTAGTTGCTTCGCAGCATGTGGGATCTTCCCGGACCAGGGCTCGAACCCTTGTCCCCTGCGTTGGCAGGTGGATTCTTAACCACTACACCACCAGGGAAGTCCCCGGGGCTCAGGTTTGATACAGGTTCAACATCATGACATGGGTTCTCTTGTTGAGGGGGGTCAGATTTCTTTGCCAAATATTTCTAGTTCTCTCTTCTGGACACGTGATGGCGGGGTATCTTCTGGCCCCCTTGTGGTTGAATAGGGCCAAGTGACGGATTGAGGCAAATGAACTGTGAGAAGTGACATGTGTCTTTCTAGACTGGATATTTTACTTAGCAATGTGAGGCTCTCCAGAGCCTCCTTTCCCTCTGGGACAGCAATAGACCAGACTTGATACTGTGGCCACTCCATTAGTGTGAGTACTTGAGGGATTCCAGAGCACTTCTAGAACAAGAAATAAAGCTTGTTGTTATATGCCACTGAGATTTGGGGTAATTTGTTACTGCAACATAGCTTACTTAGCCTGTCACGGCAGATAAACTTTGTTTTATGTCTCTGAGATTTGGGCGTGGCTATTCTGAACCATATACCAGGGTGGTGTCTCAATGACGCTATTTACGGCAGCATCGTTTCCCAATGTGTTTTGCCTTCACAAATAAATTATTCTATACTTACAATTATTATGATTTACCAGGTAAATACATTTTGTTGTAAACACATGCTTAACCTCTACTACTACTAAGAATGATAGTGAATATTTTTTACTTTTTTTAAAATGAAAAACATCAATCACATAAAAGTACAGAGACTAGTGCAATAGAACTCTCAGATTCAAAATCAACTCATGGTCACAGATCTTATTTTACCTATAAACTCACCCACTCTATCCCTCACCCCACAACTGAATTATTTTGAGGAGAATCTCATTTATCTTTTCTTTTTGTGGTACGTGGACCTCTCACTGTTGTGGCCTCTCCTGTTGCGGAGCACAGGCTCTGGACGCGCAGGCTCAGCGGCCATGGCTCACGGGTCCAGCCGCTCCGCGGCATGTGGGATCCTCCCAGACTGGGGCACGAACCCGTGTCCCCTGCATCGGCAGGCGGACTCTCAACCACTGTGCCACCAGGGAAGCCCTCTTTTTTTTTTTTTAACATCTTTATTGGAGTATAATTGCTTTACAATGGTGTGTTAGTTTCTGCTGTATAACAAAGTGAATCAGCTATACATATACATATATCCCCATACCTCCTCCCTCTTGTGTCTCCCTCCCATCTTCCCTATCCCACCCTTCTAGGTGGTCACAAAGCACCGAGCTGATCTCACGTGCTATGCGTCTGCTTCCCACTAGCTATCTATTTTACATTTGGTAGTGTATATAAGTCCAGGCCACTCTCTCACTTCGTCCCAGCGTACACTTCCCCCTCCCTGTGTCCTCAAGTCCATTCTCTACGTCTGTGTCTTTATTCCTGTCCTGCCCCTAGGTTCTTCAGCACCTTTTTTTTTTTTTTTTAAGATTCCATATATATGTGTTAGCATACGGTATTTGTTTTTCTCTTTCTGACTTACTTCACTCTGTATGACAGTCTCTAGTTCCATCCACCTCACTACAAATAACTCAATTTCCTTTCTTTTTATGGCTGAGTAATATTCCATTGTATATATGTGCCACATCTTCTTTATCCATTCATCTGTGGATGGACACTTAGGTTGCTTCCATGTCCTGGCTATTGTAAATAGAGCTGCAATGAACATTGTGGTACATGACTCCTTTTCAATTATGGTTTTCTCAGGGTATATGCCCAGTAGTGGGATTGCTAGGTCGTATTGTAGTTCTATTTTTAGTTTTTTAAGGAACCTCCATACTGTTCTCCATAGTGGCTGTATCAATTTACATTCCCACCAACAGTGCAAGCGGGTTGCCTTTTTTCCACACCCTCTCCAGCATTTATTGTTTCTAGATTTTTTGATGATGGACATTCTGACCAGTGTGAGGTGATAACGTCATTGTAGTTTTGATTTGCATATCTCTAATGATTCGTGATGTTGAGCATTCTTTCATGTGTTTGTTGACAATCTGTATATCTTCTTTGGAGAAATGTCTATTTAGGTCTTCTGCCCATTTTTGGATTGGGTCATTTGTTTTTTTGATATTGAGCTGCATGAGCTGCTTGTAAATTTTGGAGATTAATCCTTTGTCAGTTGCTTCAATTGCAAATATTTTCTCCCGTTCTGAGGGTTGTCTTTTCGTCTTGTTTAGGTTTCCTTTGCTGTGTAAAATATTTTAAGTTTCATTAGATCCCATTTGTTTATTTTTGGTTTTATTTCCCTTTTCTAGGAGGTGGGTCAAAAAGGATCTTGCTGTGATTTATGTCATAGAGTGTTCTGCCTGTGTTTTCCTCTAAGAGTTTTATAGTGTCTGGCCTTACATTTAGGTCTTTAATCCATTTAGGAAGTGCTCTAATTTCATTCTTTTACATGTGGCTATCCAGCTTTCCCAGCACCACTTATTGAAGAGGCTGTCTTTTCTCCATTGTATGTTCTTGCCTCCTTTATCAAAAATAAGGTGACCATATGTGCGTGGGTTTATCTCTGGGCTTTTTAT